GGGTTTTTCATAAAAGAGGGGTCAATGCTACAGCATCTTGTCTTTGTACTAAGCATATATTAGCTGCTACCTGGTCAAGTCAAGCCAGCAAAAACAAAGAAAGAGCAGTTTTCAGTAATGTCTTTCAAAATAAATATTGACTACCAGAATAAAATATAAAGTATGCATGAATATAAATACATCTTTTGCACCCCTTGGTAAAAAGAAGTGATTTTGGCTATTGTGTAAAAGGTTCAATGGTCAGCTTGACTGGTGGACCCTAGGCTTGCTTGTGCCATTTTCCCAAAGGACCACATGAGAAACTGGGACAGTTGTGGACGGCTGCACAAATGAGCTTATAAAGTGATTAAACTAATACTGAGCAGAACTGAATTCAGCCTTTTGGTTCAACCCTTCACAACAGTCCCAGTTTCTCAAGTGGTCCCTTGGAAAAATCGATTGCCAATACTTGGTCTAAGCTAAGCTAAAAGCTACAGGCATTAGCTTTCATGCAGTACATATGTGAGAGGGGCATAATCAATCTCAGCTCTTGGCTAAAATATTTTGTATGAACATGAGACTAAAAAAAAAACCAAGTGAGTGGCTTCATCATAGTAACATATGATTGCTTTTGATTTATTAACATAGGATAATGAACACAGTGTGTTTCTTCACTACTAAGACAAACCATTTCATCTGGTGGGTGTACCCTCTTATAATTAGCTGATAAATAATAAGTTCTGTGTTATTATCTGCAGAACCAGCTATATATAACCCTTCATATGAAGGTTATATCCACACAACTCATATGTTTACCCCTGAGATACATTCTCACCACCGTGAAATAATCACGTGACCACGAAGACTTAACCTTCACATGGACTCAAGGCTCCATTCACTGGGACAAACCAGCCGGGGGGCTGTTAGTTTAGAGGAATGGGTGGTTAAGAGGCAAATACTCATTTCAGTGATAGCATCAGCTGTAATTTTACAAATAAGCATAAATCTAGGTCAGATGTGTTTAGGTAGCTGAAATTACAAACACAACACAGTAATAGTGTTTCACCTACAAAATGTGCTGCATTTGCGGGATGAATATTTCCTGTTGACTGCCCACATGGTGATAACGCTGTGGTAAAGCGCCTAGCATCTATGTGAACTCTTGTTCTTACTCATTGCCCCAGTTGGCCAAGTGTCTGCTGTATTGCATTTCTGTCTGCTACAGAGGTTTCTTCTTCTTGTTTCACCCGACAGTTAATCTGAACAATTAAGCCCTTTATTTAGATTGTAGTACAAGAGAGGATTTGCAGACAGAGCTATTCTAGACCGTGGGCATAAAGCCAATCCTTCTGCTGTAGCTGAATGGGCTCTGTTTGCAGCAAACATACCTGTGCAGAGCTGGTGCTGATTGGTTCTTTGCAGACAATCCAGGTAACGCTCTCATACAGAGGGGGTGTGGTCAGAGAGCCATCATAAGTCCAGTAGTCTAGGCAACCAGGGAGCAAAGTAGAGGGGTCGAAATTTTCAAAAGAGGTCTGCTTGCCCTTTAAAAAACACAGGGAGAGAAGAACATTGTAAGAAAACTATCAGGAAACAAATAAAAAAAACAAACTCTTATTTTTACAGAAACACACTTTGGACTTGATGGTGTCAAAGGCATCAAGAAGCTTCTGGAGATTTGGATTTTCACCACCAATCTGAAAAAGAACAAATGATGCACTGCGGTTAAATGTTTATCATGTTTTATTGTAATACTGCATATAATGGTACTTTAACCATTTCTGCTCACCTTCAGGAAAACTCCAACCACAGCAAGTCCATCGGGCTTGCTAGCAGCCTCGCTGAAACTTGTATATTTGGTGTTCCAATGCACCAGATGAAGCTAGAAATAAAATTATATTTACATTAAAAAAAATCCTTACAGGAAACTTTATTCCTAAACTGTAGATGAAACAATAGTTTAATTATTTCTATTTTTGATAACGTAAAGCAGATGTTGGGAAAATTAAGGCAATAATACTCCAGATGAGGTCCAGTGACCCCAAGAGGTCTGCAAGGAAAGTAGTAAACTAATAATAATCTTGCATTACATCATTAAAAAGTACATCTATACTATTTATTTCTGCGCCAACAAACACGGATACATACAAAAAACATCACGTCACTCTGCCATAAGGGGATTCACTTTTTTCAACAGCCTCCTTCCGCTGCATAGCTTGGTTAATTAGCCAGCTAGCTAGCCAGTGTCCATGGATACTATTTGACCAAACCACCTAAATCATGGATTAACAGGCCTGGAGTCTCTAAATGCCCCCCCCCCCCCCCCCCCCCCCCCCCCCCCGCCCTGACGCAATTAAAGTTCTGATTGGGAGTGCAATCATATGCTTCTTTGAGGTTAAGCAATGGCTGGGTGAGCAACAGTAGATAAGGAAAGGCAACTATTTGTTGGCAAAACACATCAAATTGCAACCACACATGCTGCCAAACATCATGGGAAAAGAGGCCAGCTCCCTAATTGCTCATATTTTCCTCCCAGGCGGCCTTTCTTCTTCGATCCTTTTTAATTCAACCAATGAGATTTCTGTTTTAGACAAATTTTAATGGCCTCTAATTTGTCCACCACCGCCCCCCCCCCCCCCCCCCCGCCCCCCCCCCCCCCTACCCCAATCTCTTTGTTGCTGTACATCAACATTAATCAGCTATCTCGGTATTATCATAATGATCCAGAGATTCCCTACCTCGGCGGGATATTTGGTCCCAGCCACAGTATGTTCAGAGCCCTTGCTATCAGAAGCTCCCCAGTGGAAATGAAACTGCTTGAGTCTGTATAACCCTGAGATTGGTCCATCCGTTAAACCTGCAGAAAGAGAGAAAAATGGCAGAATGTGGATAAAAGTGCTTCACTGTTCAGCACTGACATAAAAAGATCTGACCTGCAGGAAAAACACTTCAAAAGCGCTGTATTTGCGAACAAAAGGAAATGGAATAAGATGTGATACACACATGTAGACACTGTGACTGTGACACACTTCCATGGAAGCAGTCTCAGTTCCTGTTGTGTAAACCCAGCTAGAGATATTCAGTTCAAAGTAATGTCCAGGTATTGTAAACACCAGACCTCTTTCCACCGTTGTGTAATGTATCTATTTAAAGAATACAAAGTAGTTCAAACAGCAGCAATTAATCCTGTATATTGTTCTATTTCTGGTGCAACATCATATGGAGCCTCCCAAAACAGGATATTTATTTGGCAGCTGTTGGTCTTGAATGATAAAAAAGTAATCTGTGTCTACATGAAAAATGAAGAATTAGTGGAGTATAACATGAATGTGTTACACAGACACCTTTCTTAGAAGTGCCGGGCCTAAAACAGGTACAGTAAGATTCTAAGAAAACATAAGAAACCATTTTGTGTGAGCAGTAGAGATTTTATCCCTGTGATTAAGTTGATTATGCAACCATAGTCTCGATTATCCCCTATCAGAGCTACTAAAGAAAAACAAAAGAAAACACTCATCACTCTGAAATCCTAAGGAATCCTAAACAAAAGTGGAGGACATGTCCTTTTTTATGTTTTGTTTATCTTTTAAAAGTTTTAATATGACCAGAATGGAAACACACATAAAATAAATAAACAAACAAATAATGTTTTACTGAAAGAGAAAGATATTAGCATTAATTTCATAGTAACTGTTTCTGTGCACACATGGGGACATTAATAATTAACAAAGCTCATGTATGAGTAACCTTCCCTTTTTTTGTGCTTTTGACCTCACTGTTAGCAGAGCTGGCGTGGGAAAGGTTTACCAAGGGTTAGATTACCAATTCAATCGCGCTTTGTGCTTGCCTTTTCAACGAGACCTCTGCACCTTAAGCAAATGTATTCATTGTAAAAACGACATATTTCATTTTTCAAAAACAACATAAAATCTGTGCCATCGCTAATGGCGTGGTGTTAAGGAATCTGGGGCGCATCTATATTATAAGCACAGTATTAATGTCTTTCTAGTCTAAAGCTTGAGTCTGTGGCAGCTGTGGAGATGACTGCATTGTATAAATCATCCTCAGGAGCCTGATTTTTATTGTCCGCAAACCTGGATCCAAGAATCTTATAGCTTCTCGGTTACTGTGAGTAATATGAATGTAAGAGAATGTGTTTCTCCGAGAAATCTCAATCAGTACCTGGACGGTTGTAAATTTATTAGTGTGGGTAGTTTTAACACTCACTTGAGCTGTCGGTGTCGTCCGCGAAGGTCACTTGGACGGAGTGCCCGTTGTTGAGAATATCGAGGCAGGTGGACGGGTCGTACTTCAGGGTGAGCGGCTTCAGCCCCGCGTCATATGATGCTTGGCCCGGTACGATGTCAATAGGAGACTGACGGACTCCATCGGCAATAGGGAAATTTTCAACCCATTTCTGAGGTCCTGGAAATTACATAATAATAATAACATTGTATTTAATATCAATCTATAAATATATTCTTTTAAAATTTTAATTATCTGTGTATTTGGGAGCTGAAGGTGTGAGTGCGTCTCCAAATATGCATAGTAGGCTAAATAAATCAATGTAAAAAAAAATAAAAAATCCCCGCAGTGATCCGTGAATGCACTGTCCTTCGTTCATTTAGCAGCCCGCTTGCTGGTAGGACTGGTAATATATATATATATAATTATATATAGATATATATATCGAATCAGCGGCTCACCATTGTTTGGTTTGTATCCCCAAGACATGGTGACAGTTTGGATGTATGAGCGAGCAGGCAGAGCTGTAATCCCCTAAAGCTAAAGCGACTCGTTCCCCAGTGCAGAGCAGCTAGTGTCCTCCACCTGACAGCTGCAGAGCTTATATAGGGTCCCAGTGTGCGGCGTGTCCGTCCGGCAGCCCGGGAGGAGTTTAGATGCACCGCAACGCTGCAACACGTCGGATCAATGGATCTCTCTCTCTCTCTCTCTCTCTCTCTCACTCTCTCTCTCTGTCTTTCTCTCTCTCACTGAATCTGCAGTGGTTTAAACGTTTCATCTGCCAGCAGCTATGAAGCTTTAATAGCCTATCTCTCGAGCGCGACGAGCGCGTGCTCACCTTTCATCTAACGGATTTTACGCGTCTGTCATGTGAGGAAGTGAAGAAGACACGTAGCCCAGTGACACATTCAGACGGACAGTGGACTACAGTCATGACAGTGGAGATATTGCGGCAGTAACGCGCAAACAATCACCAGATATCGATAGAGAGGTAGATGGATTTCGAATAATTACACAAAAAGTTGTCGCAAACACCAGTTAGTACAAATGTCTGCAAACGCACAAAGCAATCGTTAAATCGCGTGTGAAATGGGGGTGGGGGGTCTCGAATATGAACTTAGAGCTTGTCTGGTAAGATTTTCATTAAAAAAAAGTAAAAACTAATAGGTCAATTTGCTGCATGATTTGCATGATGCCTGTCAGTGATGATGATGGGGGGGGTTACGTCTTCCTTCAATAAACGCTTGCTTTCCCGTTGCAACTCAGAGTACAATGACATAATAAGGGTTTTCAGAAAAAAAAAACCCAACAACAAAAAAACAAAAAACATGCAGGTAATGATAAGCGCTGGTATTATGGTGCCACCTGCTGTTGCTTCCCAGGCAGCACAGCAACGTGTTACCGGTACAGGGACCTGATCCGTGAAGCTCTAAAACGAACTGATGAGTTTGCTCAGTGGTTGGGGCGACTGGCTTAACCTCTGCTTCACTGATTATCTCGCTCCTTCTGCCTCAGGAGCAAGAAATGATAGGACATATATCTGATATGCACAGTTCATCAAGGCGCAAAACAGAAACTAAAGGCCAGTTTGCTCTATTATTATTTCAGACTATAATACATATAAATATTTAGCCTACAAATCAAAGTCAAATGAGACAGTATTCACCGATAATGAACAGGTGCGTATGAACTGGTCCAAAGGAAAAAACGAAAACGCGACTGTGCAAGAGGACATAATAATAGACTGCACAAACCAAAATAAAAAATGGTCACTGCACAAGAGACGTGAAGAAGGGCGTGCAGGCGGGATGATGCGGTTGGAGACGAGGGTCAGGGGTGATTTGTGACAGCAGTATAGCCCAAGAGTGAAGGGAAGATTTACAAGATGGTAGTGAGACCTGCTATGATGTATGGTTTGGAGATGGACTAACAAACAAAAAGACAGGAGGCGGAAATTGAGATGTTAAAAGTTTCATTGGGAATGACCAGAATGGGAAATGAGTACATCAGAGGGACAGATTAGGTAAAAAAAAAAAAGCAAGGCTGGGATGTTTTTTTTTCTTTTTAAAAAAAATCAGAATACGGATATATTGAAAGATGGAGCTACCAGCAGGAGGAAAAGAGGAAGATCTTAGAGAAGACATGTAGAACATGCAGTGGGTTGGTGTGACGGGGGATGCCGATATTCTGCTGTGGAGTTCCTAAAAGCGAGCAAAAAAGAAGAAATGCATCTCAGGCAAAAACAAGTTATGGTGGTGTGAGTATAAATATATAAGTTTAGTTTCTGTGAATTAGTTATCTAATTCACAGTACAATATAAAGAAATTAAATAATCGTTTATCTCATTTGTCCTAGAAAGAAAGTCAGCTACTCTCTCGAAACAGGTGACAGGGGCGTTAACGTTACGTTTCTGTCGCAGGCAAATGACGTCACCAAGAAGGCACGGTGGTGTTTTCAAGTAGCACGAGGATTTTAACGCCACTCTTCGAAGAAGTTCGGTAAGTGGCGTATAAACATCTTACAGCCGTACACTTACGAACTGTTATACCAACATAAATAACCTCAAATAAGTCGCTTAGTTTCATCGTCGTTATGTGTACTATAACACAGGCTAACATGTGAGGCACTCCGCTAACTAGCTGGTTACCGCACTGGATTTCAGTTTGCCTGAAATATTATTACATGTCGTTAAAGACCGTAATACATATTATTATTATTGTTATTATTATATTTCTGATGGTATTCTTCTTGGCTGTTTGTCTTAACTCTTTTCTATGCACTGCTGTATGTGTATCAGGTATTTACAATGTCTCCCTCTTACGTTGTCTATTTGCTGTCCTTCCGTGTAAATGCAACACACTGATGATAAATTTTAGTCTTTAAGCTTTACCGTTTCTTTGGAAATTCCTATAACGTTACCACAGGTCACAGACTAGTGCACTCCCAGTGCCAGTCCCGAGCCCAGCTAAATGGAAGCGTTTTTATGTTCCTGAGCAAGATCTTTGTTTTTTCCCTGGCTGGTCTCAAACGTGCTAGTTTGTGCCCATGTACACAAGATAAAGATTTTACCTACTTACAGCATGAAAAGTTCCATATTTCCACCAGAGACCCAGATAATAGCTTCATTAAAGTCATTCCGGCATCTGACTTGGATACCTCCTGGATGCCTCCTAGGCGAGATGTTTTGGACATGGGGGAGACCCAGGACTCCCTGGCTTGGGAGGGACTAGGTGTCCCCCTAGAATGAGCTGGAAGAGGTGGCTTGGGCTTCTCTGCTTAGATTGCTGCCCCCGTGACTCAAACCCAGATAAGCTGTATATCCAGAAGTGCAGGCAATAAAAAGGATGAGGTTGGAGCGACTGGGTAATGTAGTGGTTAGCTCTGTAGCCTCACAGCATAAAGCTGGTTCCCCTCTCCTTAGCATGTGCCTGCAGGTTTACTTCAGGTATTCTGGCTGCCTCCCAGAGTCTGAATATATGAAGAGATGGTTTGAGCAGGTGATACAAATGCTGAAATGCTACTGTGGGGGCCCATGCTCAAGTCGATACCACCGCCCTACTCTACTGTCCTGTCAAAAATGAAGGCTAAATATGCTACCAGAAAAGTAAAACAAAAAACAACAAATAAATAAAACACATATAATATCAGCAAAGGCCTTTAGCTACAGATATGCTTGTTTTTTTTCACCCAGCTCTTCAGCCACATTATGACTCCTTATCCACTTTGATTCCATTTTTCACCAGACCATGAAATCTGCATGTACAGACTCACCAGTTAAATTGGGTGAAATCATTGTCCCCAAATAAGGTTTAAAATTAAAAAAAAAAAATGTAAATGACAAAGCAATATATTTTCCCCCCTGGAGGTTATACTTTTGCTGTTGTCTTTACCTTTTGCAGATTTCAGTTGTGCCGTGTTTATTGCTCTTGTAGAATCTGCAGTTGTGTGTGTCACCTTCACTGGGCAGGAAGAATTTGTGAATTTATGTAGTTTATAAATCAAACTCCAACATCAGCTTTTTTTGTTTTTTGAGAAGGTTGTGCAGGAAAATGTTAATATAAAAAGTTATAACACTATAAAACTTGACTGAATTAGTGCGTTTTCATTTGACTTACAGCATTTTCTGATATCATCTACACCTTTTTGACCACTGTTTTAAGGCCCATGGCCATAACTGAGCTTTTTGGGGTAAAAAAGAGGTGTTGATAATCAGGTGGCTTTCCAGGCACGTCTAGAATCAGGAGCAAGCTATGAATCTGTGAGTGTGTGATCAGAGCAGAGACTGCCAGACAAACACAGGGAATCACTGGAGGAAGAACATGGTAGAGAAAGTAAATAATTTCCACAAATGCATCCATGCTGATTGCCGTTCTTTCCACAGGTGAAATGGCAAAGAATAAACAAAAGGGGAAAAAACAGAAGAACGTCTTTCAAGTGGCAAACAAGCACTTGAAGAACAAGACCAAAGCGAAACCCGTCACAACAACACTCAAACATGTAAGATCTCTTTCATCTCTTACTCCCGGTTTTGTTTTCTTTGGCTTATTGGGTTTTGTTTTTGTACATGTATTATGTATCCTCCCTTGTTCGTGGTGTTTGTTGCATCTGCTCTAACATGATTGCGGTATCACAGATCAATACAGTGAAAAAGGAGAAAGTGGAGAGTCTAAATCAAATCTTCACAGAAGTCCAGAGGGATGTTAAGAGCATTTCAAAGTCAGTCGCTCCTGAACCAAAGAAACAAATACAGGTAAAGGAGGAACTCATGGACTTTTAACATTCTTTTACCTGTTTTTTTAAAACAATTCTATTGCTATCAACATATATACTTTTAAATTTCTTAGGTTGTCAGAGAGCCACCAAAGGAATCTGTAAATATCGACAATGCCGCTCAACTCTTCTCTCAGCTATAATGGTATAAAAATAAGTGATTACCACGAACAAAGATGATGGACTGAATATGCTCTCACAGCATTTTGTCATTTCTCTTCGAAATGAGGACTACAGATGAGCTGCCAAGAACCTGCTGCATTGATATGGGAGTGAAATCTCATGTGCAACTCAAGGTTTTTGCGTATTATGTGCACAAAGAAATCAAATCCAATTACAGAGTTGAACACTGTCAATTGTAACGTTCTTTCGGATTATGCACCTTTGTGTATTTTATTAATATCTTTTAGACTTATACACGTTATTGTCATTATTGATTCTCAGAAAATGCTTACGTTAGAGCAGATTCAAACTGTAATGTTATATATGGCACGAACAATAAGTTAAATGAAACAAAATAAAGTGTTGATATGTCAGATGACTCATCTTTTCATTAACCGATTCTCTTTAAAACTCTTTGTGTACCTTGCAGTCATTTTTCAATAAACTTTTCAAAAGAATTCTCCCAACTACACGAATTTCATCCTGCCCTCTTTGATTTTTGTTTTTCTTTGTATTTCAAGGTTTCAACCCCCTTTGACATGTTTTGGTGTCTCATTTAGCACAAATGAAGACACAGAGGAGATCACTGTGACTTCTATTTGTGAAGATGGAAATGCTCGCCTCTGAGTTTCGGTACGAGGCGTTCTTATATAAAATGTGACCTGCCAAATTTAGTGCTCCAGTGCGAGTAAGGCCTATGTGTTTTTATTCGTTTAGAATGACTTAAAAATAAGAATATTTGTGCTTTTGCTGCCCTTGAAAACCATTTTTATATCTTATATCGAATTAGATGAAAAACTGAAAAATCCAATTCGAAAGTTTTATTTTATCTCACGTTGGAAGGTGAGAGTGATATACATTATCAAAACTTGCATTCCCTATAGTCCTTTAGTTTTAATTTGCAATCTTTTAAGAAATACAGTACTGTGGAAGAATCTGGAGACTTTTCTGATTATTTCTTGATGTTTTGGTTCTAGGCAGCCAGATTTTCTTGTAACTGTTTGTAAAATGGTCTTGAGCAGTACTCCAGGGTTTCTGAACGTCTTTCAAAGTTTTTGCTTTGGAGCTTGGACCTCACCATCATTGAAGCAGTCTGGGATCATCTTGACAGAACAGAACAAAAGGCAGCCAACATTCAAAGAATTTTGGATTGTCCTTCAAAAATCCCAAAGAACTATTCCTGAAGATTACTTCAAGAAATTACAGAAAAGCTTGCCTTAAAAGAGTTCAGGCTGTGTTGGAGAATAAAGGTTACCAAACCAAATATCAACTTTTAAGTTTGTTTGAACTACAAACTCCATTTTCCCCTTATATACTGTATTCCCATGTGTGCTTGCAGGTATTTCAGTAACTTCTAACTCCTACCAGTACTTGATTAAATTTATATTAGCATGACAACTTGTTGACTTCTATTGATTTGACTTTCATATGGACCAAACTATACTTATAAAAATGAACTGGTAGCATTACGTATGCTTTTGATATATTAAAATGTCTCAGTGATTTCATGCGTGACCCTGAATGTGATCTCAGCTTCCAGCTGCCACTCTTCATAAGACTGAGTTTGACACCCCTGCTCTAGAGATGGCTTTTCATGTTTTGTTTGTTTTTTAATGTGTTGCTTGTGTGAAGTCAGTTATAGTGCCATTAGAATTTATAACCTAATATTACTGAGTGGAAATTATAGCTCAACTTCTGGAAACCCATAGTGGTTCTGATGCTGTGTTGGCACCAGCACCAGATATTGTTAGGTGGAAAAACATGAAATTGATTCTAGATTAGGAACTGGCAGAACATCGGTGGTAAAGAGGTATTACTGGCAACCTAGGTACACACCTGGAGAGAATCAGTTAGCTGCAATTGCAATCTCATTGCTACATGCCACTAAGGCAAACACACCGGTCCGTTACTTATTTTCCAAACGTTCTGCAGTGAAAGAATACAGTGATATTTTTGTCAAGTCGTATCAAGCTGGGTTTTGCTGTTTCTGTGGACTGCATTATGTTGTTTGGCATCTGTGCGATTTCATCAGCTAATAATGTACAAACTCTATTTGTTGGCCTCACACCGTCATTTCTATCAGAAGGGCAGCTGAAAATGAATTATAGATTTTTTGCCTCCACCTGCAAGCAGAGAGCCGTTATCAGTATGCTGCTGCTGCATCCCGCTGTAGCAACTTGACATCAGAGGTCACGGGTGTACGAGCACCAAGCTGATTGCTTGTCTCGGTGGCAACCTCTGACTGAGTTAGTTGGTCAATAAATCTGGGGTGAGGTAAGAGCACAAGTGAGGCTGGTAAACAAATCTGCACTTGGCTGTGTTGACATAAATAACTTGGCAGATTAGATTTTCAAGGTGAAGATGACATGATAGAAATACTGGCCTGAGTGATGGCTTTCACTACCTATGATGAAGTTGGGTAGCTCCATAACCCTCAGCCGGTGGCAGGAGATGGCTGCCCCTCCACGAGCCTGGTTCTGCCAAAGGTTTCTTCCTATTAAAAAGGAGTTTTTTCTTCCCACTGTCACCAAGTCCTTGCCCAAAGAAGGTTGTGTGATTGTTGTTTTGTCATTGTAATATTGTAGGGGTTTTACAAAGTGCCTTGACTGCTTTTGTGATTTGATTTAAAAAACAAAATGAATAAAATAGAATTGAGTTGAAATGAATAGATAAGAGTGGAAGTATTTGGAAAAGGTTGCAATGAGATTTTTGGCCACATGGGGGCAACAGAAAGAAGCTCTAAATACTGACCTCACTTCTTGAGTTGATATGGCAAGGTTTTGAACAATGACTTGTTCTTGTTTTCACATGGAAATGACAATAACATTACAATTCACTGGTTTTAATTCTTGTTTTGGTCTCTACTGGGTAAAATATGTCTTTTTTAGCAACTTCAGTCTTCACTGTTTTCATAGCTAGTTGTTTGATATGATATAGGCCTCTGATCAATATAGCTACCTCCCTAAAAGCAAGACTGGTCACAGTGAACGAAATGATAAGAATTGGCACCATGATTGACCCCTTTCATATTATGCTAATTATTTTTGATCCACTTTCTATCTAGAAGTATTGATTAAGGTCAGCTTTAAAGAATTATATTTGTAAAACTGAGTATGAGCAGGAAGTCTTCTCCCTTTTTTCTTCAACTGAATTAAAGTGACAGCAAAATCTGGGGAAAAGCTTAACAAGTAGGACACATTTGCTCTGAAATCCATTCACTTGATGCCTTTTGGGGGAAAACATTTATTCCTAATACAGAGGAAAAGGTTTTCAGGTGGAAATGATTGGCGAGGGGAGCATAGCAGATGCAGCGTTAAAGTGTTAGCCTGCGAGCAGGTGCTTCCCACTGTGATCCAGATGGCTGCACCAGAGCACAGGCAGTGGGGTTTGCGCTGCTACACACCCTGGGGACAGAGATCATGGCAGCGCACACATACGTACACTCATTGGATTTTTTTTTTTTAATTTATATGCACTGGTGGGGGGTAGCTGGATCTGTGGGTGAGAGGACCAGAGCTCTGTTTGTCATGGCACAGTGTGTTGTTAGTCACGTTTAGTGCTGCTAGTCATGCAAAAAGTCCTGCAGAGTTCTGCTCTTGCTTGAAAACTTATTCCTTTGATGTAACTTTAAAACTTTAAAACCATCTATTTATGTAAGACCTCGTCTCCGTCTGTCTCGGTGAAACCTGTGAAAGACAGTGCTAATGATGGTATGTGTTAAAGTTAAAATTAAACAAGCTTTTGCTTTTCTTGAGGTACTCCTATTGTGCCATTAAAGAAAGAGCACCCGGAGACGTTTGATTGAAGCTGATTAGTCAGTTGCTTAATTGAATGTAATCAAAAGGGACGTTTTAGACAACCACCAGAGTTGGAGATGTCCACAAGATGGTGCTCTGGATGGGCTTATCATTATGCACGGTGACAAGCGGGGAAGTGGATCTGTAGGTGTGTGTGTGTGTGTGTGTGTGTGAGAGAGAGGAGAGTCGGGGACACAGAGATCGAGAAAGAGAAAAAGAGAAGTGTTGGGCTCGCTGAATGCCAATAAGAAGCTGAAGGCCTATTTGCAGTATGTCATTCCCAGCACACAGCTGGGTTTTTCACTCTGACAGGACTAGCAGCAAAAGGTTACAGCACCTGGACTTCTCCCTGTGAGAGAAATAAGAATCATCGTGTTTGTCTGTTCAAGAGAGAGACAGACTCGGTGTGTGTGTCTGTGTTCTCTGCTTGTGTTTGCCTATGCAGATTTGCTTTTCACAGCCATTTTCGGATCGCAGCGGTTGCCGCAACCCAGGCATCAGTCTTCCAAAGCCATGATGGCGGATACACTTTGCTTTTAATTTATTTCTAATTCCACTTTTAAAAAGAATAAATGCATCAAGGATGTGCTGCACATTGTAAGCTCTGATGGCCATATGAAATATGCTTTTAAAATAATTGGACTGATTCGCTCTCTTTAAAGAGAACACAGCGAGCTATTTAAAGCAAAGCAATCAACTCTGAAATATGAAACAGGAACAATTATGTTACTCGAAAGGTCAAAATGCCAGTCAAATTAAAACATTAGTCACGATGAAATTATAAAAATATATATCTGACACGTCTATTAGGCCAATGTAATGAGCCACACTTTTTCTAAAATGTATATTTACCCAAGAAATTTCCATTAATGAAGAGCAGTTTGTCATTGACTACCCTTCAGAAACTAATCCCTTTACTCGGTTGTTTGAATCTCCCTTTAATGTCTTTAACGGCATTTTGCCAGCAAGTTCGACAGCCAAGATTCACATAATGATTAAAGTTTGCTATTCAGACCAGGGCAGAGCAATGTCTCTACTGTGTCCTCACAGTAACTAAATATTCCCATCATGCACTCGTGCTTGCAGACTTATCTCATGTGAATCTGTATATTTTGCCTCGTTTTTCAGTGTTGAAGTCAGGGATTTGGGGCTGCTGCTGTGCCCTCAGTGTGATTTGCTGTTTGATCGAGAGTCTGTGCCTCCAAAGGAAAGATTAAACCCATGCCGCAGATACACCACTACCATCACTGACAGATATGATAAAGATAGAGCCCGTACTGTGATTTCATTCATGTTGGATCTTTCATTAATCGATAAAGAGAAGAGAAGGAAAGATACGTTTGATTAATGGACAAATGCCTTTGCCGTGTTTTAACTTGAGTATCCGACTAACATTGTCTTGGGGATGCTGAATTTAGCTTGTATTCGATTTCTTCAAGGACCGAAGAAGGCTTTGCAAAAACTTCATGGAACAGTTGTGATTTAAATTCCTCGTGTTTTCCGTATCGCCTTGGGTATATTTGAAGTCTTTATTAAAAGGATTTCTCACTGTGTTAATCAAAGTATAAAGTTTTAGCTGTGACTAAATTAATGGTCTTAATTTTCTTTTAGGAAAGTCCATTTAGCCTGCTGTTTTGTACCACCTCCTTAAAACTTAGACACAGAAATAAATTGGCATTCTGGAGTTCCTTCTGTAGAAATATATATAAAGAACAAAGCCTTTGCATCAAGGTCAGGGAAGAAAGGGAATTTTTAACACTATACAGATCCAAGCCCACTTCCTGACAGGTCATTGCCTTTATAAAACAAGAGAAAAAGTTCATAGATGGAAGATGTACTGTTTTATGTATGCTGATGATGATTTGGACTGGTTATATGTTAGCAATCTCTAGTTTTGATTGTTGTGCAGATTTGAAGAATCAATTTATGAAAATCATCCATCAATTTTCTTAGCTGCTTATTGATCTTAAGCTGTTAGGTTACCATGTACGGTTGATTTAGGATTAGCAATTAAGCTAATGAGCATGTATTTGGACTGTGGGGAAAAAGCTGGAACAACCCACGCATGCACAGGGAAAGCATGCAAACTCCATGTAGAGTCTGCAGCCACCGGATTAAAACCTTCTTGATGTTCCAGTTCTAACCCTTAAATCATTGAGCTAACGTCAATTAAATAATTCTCTTTAATTCCTGCCACACGGTTTAAACATTTAAATGGCTACATTTCAAGCAAATTATTATTTCTGATAGCCAATTCTGTCTGAATCTTTTATATGAAGCACATTGATGATTGTTGTACTACCTGGTCATTAACAGATAGAACAATAATCAATACAACAGAATCACTTTTGAAGACAGCCATATTTTGATTAAAAACACCTTTAGAGATCTGAGATTTGTAAACATGGTATTTT